ACGTCCTGAGAAGCCTAGAAACTTTTTGCAAGTCTAAGGCAGTTTGGAGACAACACAGTCATTAAAATAGAGGCTGGGCTTTAGAGTTTGGTCTGGAAAGGGAATATAATAAGATTTTTGCTGAGACTTTTGTCAGCTTTGTTCTCAAAGGAAATATTCTTCATTTTTCCTAAGAGATTTTTTAGCCCAAACTCCGCTCAATTTAATATCTGAACCTTCAAAAAAAAGTCATCCAAGCTCCAGTGATTTTTTTTTCCCCCATCCCCTTCACTTTTCATTTGCAAAAGAAAACCCAAACATTTCTGCTCTGGCTGCCCCAGGGTATTGCTTTCTGCCCTGTTTTTGAGTCCCCCCCCGGAACAGTGGGAGCCCTCGGGTGCTCGGCTCTGCTGCCTGGCCCGGCATCCGCAGCCGCTCTCGGCTCTCAAAGCGCCTTTGGGAGAGGCCGATGCCCACCACGTCCCGTGCTGCCACACTGGGGTCCAGCTTCCCCATTAAATTCATTAAACTGGCACAAAACCTGCATACCAGCAAGATGCAGCCCCAACACCCGCAGCACGCTGGGTCCTGTGCTTGGTAGGTGGCCTGCGTAAAAATAACGCCCGTATAAAAATAACGCCCATATAAAAGTAACACCCGTCTGGCCCTCAGGTGTGGGGTACGTTTAACACCATCGGCTCGCTGAGCTACCTGGGCCTCCCAGCTATATTTTAGCTGCTGCCCTGTCCTCCCTGCACCGGCTTGGTCCAGCATCGCCTCGAACGGCAGCGCCTGAGCCAGCCACAACCTCACTCCCCAACGGGCATCGCCCCATTGGCACCAGCCCCCAAACCCCTTTGCAGAGGGGTTGCACCCCTCAAAAGCCCCTTTTCTGCGGGTGGCCTGGCACACGTGGGTACAACAAAGCCCTTTTTATTTGTCCTCTTTTTCTTTTCCCTTTCCTTCTTCTTCTTCCCTTTTTTTTTTCCCCTTTCCTTCTTCTTCTCTTTTTATTTTTCATTGCAGCTTTAAACGAGGCTGCGACTAAAGTGTGGATCAATTTGGAACGGAAAGTTCCTGTAAATAATAGCTACACCTCGGGGTGTTTCCCCTCCCAGAAGCTGTGAAGAAAAGGCGGGGATGGCTAGGGTTTGACTTGAAACATATTTCTGCTGGCCAGGGCTGCGGAGACGGGTTCTCACCCATATTAGTATTTATTGTGGTTTTTTGTTTGGGGCTTTTCCTTTTTTTTTCTTTTCCCCCCCTTTTCCTTTTTTTCTCTTTCCGTGCAAACGCCGCTATGGGTTGCGCTTACAGAGATGCTGCAAAGGAGAAGCAGAACATCGGCTCCGGCACGTCCGCCCCGAGCCCTGCTCGACGGGGAAGGCGCTGGCATCGCCCCGGCACGCCGCTGCCGGTGCCTTTGCTGGGCTCATGAATAACGCTTGCGTTGAGTGGCTTGGCTCCTCGGGAGCCCCTGGCCTACAGCGCCTTGGCATCAGATGCTATTGTAGGCTGGGATGCTTTTTTTTAATTTTATTTTTGCTTTTCAGCTGTCATTTGGGTTCTGGAGGCGAGTGGTGAGTGCTAAGGGGTTTGGGCTTGGACCGCCTGGGAATTTGGGTCCTGGTTAGGATTTGTGCCGGAGCTTCTGCAGCTCGGGAAGCGGCGCGGCGATGACAGGCGGCGGTCGGGGCGCGGGATGCTTGGCGGGGGATGCAGGGATCACCTGCCAGGTCTAGCCTGGCGCAGTGTGAGTGGCCCAGAGCCTCCTCGGAGAAGGCTACAGGGGGTTTCTCAGAGCTCACAGCCCAGGGTCTGTCGTCCCCCCCATCGCTTCCCTGCATCCCTGTGCAGGCACCTGCCTGCCCTCCTCCCCGGACACCCTCGCAACGCCTGCTCCGGCCGATCTGTGGCCGAGAGCAGCCGTGATTCCCCCCTCCCCAGACACTTGATCCAGGCACCGGGATGCTCGGAGGGGTGCCAAAATTAGACGCTGGAGAAAGAGCAGCATAACGAACCTTCCTCCACACCAGGGCACAGATCTGCTCCCCCCCTGTCGAGAAGTGAGCAGGCGGAAGGCACCGGGGCGACTTGTAACCGTACATTTATTATTCCACATGGAAAGTCATTAAAATGATTACACGGAGGCCTGACGATATAATCACGTACATTGGATAAGAACATCGACACCGATAATAGAAAAGCAGAACTGACCACTTTGCTACGGCTTCGTACCAAGGCGATTTCCACCTGCTCACGAAGGAGCCCGGCTCTGGTCTCATTGAAGCCAGCGCAGCAGAGACGTCCCCAGCGAGAGCTTCGTCCAATGACTTCAACAGGAGCAGACCCTCCTCTTCCTCTCCCTCCCTCCCCGCCTCCCCCCTCCCCAGTGACAAGTGCTACAGGTTAAAAAGATGGGCTACATATTAAATATAGGGCATTACCTTCAAGTAGGGCTGGTACGTTACACAAATAACCACATTATTTGGTATCACTAGCTTTTTTTTTTTTTTTTAATGTCCGTCGTAAGACACCATTAAAAAAACCCAACAACTTTCGCCTTCTTTATCTGCGAAGATCTTTGTTCTCATCTCCTTAGTCGGTTGTTGTTATTTTACCCTGCACATACAAGTATTAGCATCATTAAGAATCGGATCCTTCAACACATTTAAGAATTATATTATTATAACAAATAAGACCAAAAATTAGATTTTATAGTTAAATATTCTGTGAGCCAGACAAAGGGGTTTTACTGTACAAGCGATTGTGCATTTTTTTTTTAAAAAAAGCAAATTATAGTGCAAAGCAAAAAACGTTGGCCTGTCTCGTGACCATTTGCATATAATAGAGGTGCATCTATTTACACCTTCACATGACAATATGTCATAAAAATAACATCGTTGCCATTCTTTTCATTATTATTATTTTTTTTTTTAAATTCACTACGAACAGTCTTAAATTACCCTAGTTCTACGAATGCCTTGTTTTTCTTTGTGCTTTCAATCAGTGGCGCGGTCGGATGATAAAACATAAACGCATCGAAACACAGGCTGCCGTGGTCCAGTTTCTACAGCTGGCAAGCACCGGCGAGGTGCTCGCTGTCGCTAAGGCAAGTGAAGGTTGCAGTTTTGCTGGGGTAGGGCTTTTTTTTTTTATTTATTATTATTATTATTTAAAAGAGTTGTTCCTCTTGTTGCTTATTTAACGCGTAAGTGGTCATCGCAGCTTTCCAACGAAGCCAGGATGGCTTGCTCCAGTCTTGACGTGGTAGTGCAATTACAACGCTCTGTACCTCAACCGAGTGCTGACAAGCTGCCAACTGAGATTTGGTGATGGGCGGCACGGCTGGGATGGTGTAACTTAGACAGAGGGGCTGGCAGGGCAGCTGTGGGGTTTCAGTTTTCTTATGCTCATGGAAAAAAAAAATAAAAAAGGCTTGATTACTGGTGGAACTGGGGGCTGGGGCCTGTCCCTGTCCCCTTGCCACAGGGTAGGCTCCGGGGGGCAGGGGTACCGCAGTCACACGCTCCCCAGGAACCTGCCCGTGCACCCTCAGCCCTGCTGGCGTGAGGAATCCCGAATCCAGCCCGAATTCCCACACCAGCAGAAAGCACAGCCGGCTTGCGAGAGGCGACATAACCCTGCGGCGTGCATCGGAGTCAGGCCACTAACCCAGCCCCGGGGGAGCCCCTGGCACCCCTCCAGCTGCCTACGACCTCCTGTCGTGGTCCTGTTGGGGTTCCAAACCCTTTGGTATCAGCAACAAGGGTGCGTGGTGCCCGGGGAGACCCGATTCCTCCAAATGCCACATGGCGCAACCAGCTCCTGATGGGCCGGCGGTACCTTTAGTGCCCCTTCTTCCCCTTCTTCACCTACAGCAAGATACCCACGCTCTGGGTCACTCAGGGGAAAGGAAAGGAGGGTGAGGGGATGGAAAAATGCTAGATAACATTGCTTCACAATATTCCCACCACCAAGGGACCGGGTAGAAATTGCTCCTTCCTCCAAATCTCAGTTAGAGCTTTCAGTATGAACTGACGAGTGTAGAAGTCGTTTCTTAACAAAAAAAAAAAAGTCATCATGTGTCAATCTGCTCTGGGTGAAAACGTGGGAAAGAATCGTAAGAGAAATATGATGCTTTGCCACCAGCTGCATGTGTCGCCACTCAGAGAGGATGAAAGGAAGACCCAAAGACCGGTGGCAGGGCCATGCCAAAGGCTCCCGAGTCCCTTTTGCAGCTAACGCGCTTGGAAGTGCATCTCATACATCTTGGATTGTCCTGAACGCCGCCTTCGCTTCAGCCACCATCACTGAGATTTGCTAAGAGGAGCAAAGAATTGACTGGTGAGGTCAGGACAAAAGAGCAAACAAAACAAAACACGTCTTGTAAAAAGTACATCTCATATGTAAACATACAGGAAAGGGGGGGGTGTGTCTGTCAGGCACGGGATCAACCACGTTACTGTTTTAAAAAAGACGACAATGATAAAAATGAACAATACAGCCTCTGTCGTCAGCAACAAATAACAATAATCACATCACAGCTCTTGTTCACATGGCTGATGCCGGCTGACCCACGAGGAGCGTGCAGCCCCCATGCGTGCCCGAGTCCCCGTGGGTGTGCTGTAAACCAGACTCTCACGTGCCGCGTGCGGCTCTGGCGTCGGCCCGGAGCTCTTTGGTGGTCATGGGCCCTACACAGGCGGGGAGGGAAGGAGAGGAGACAACGGGGGGGTTTTCTTCTTTTTTTTTTTCCTTTTTTTTTTTTCAGTTCAGTCTTCCCGCACGGGCAGAGAGATGGCTTGGACGGCTCCCTGGTCTTTTCTCTTCTCTGAAACATTTTGCAGGAGAAGGGTGAGCTTTTCGTAACTTTTGAATGCTTTGTGTGGGGAAGAGGGTGCGAGTGAGATGACTGAGAATTGTTCCACAAGAAACAAACATCTGATTCCACACGTTCTTTTTTTTTTTTTTTTCCCCTATGTACAATCCACATACTTAAAACATACGAAAGGAACCACATCAAGCGACAAATTCAAGCCTCGTGGACGTTCATCTTGAAATGTAACGTAGGTCCTGGTCCATCTTCGCTTGATGTTTGCCCATGCTTGCATGCAGAGGATTCTGGTTTGCTTTTGGTTTGGGAGACTTTGGTTTACCTTTTCCCTAGGCATCGTTTTGCTCTATTCACTACCAAAAGGAGTAACGTGGCTGATTAAGTTAAAGCTATCGGTGCCCAGTTGAGTTCCTCCTAATAGGGTCTCCAGACCGACTCATCCATCCTCCCAGTAGTTGTCATGGTTGTCGGTGAATTACTGTGGCTCCCGTCCGCGTCCACGCCGTCGTTCTGATTGCCCAGGTTGGGATTCATTAAGTTGTTCCCCGCTGAGGCACTTGTACAAGAAGAGAGCATCCGGGTCGGGGAGCGCTCGCCGCCCGCCACCATGGAGAACTGGTAGGAGCCCGAAGATGTGCCGTAGTACAAATGGTAGGGAGAGGGGTTGGCCTGGAAGGGTCCACTTTGGTTTTGCGTGGAGCCGGGGTAGGGGGGCGGCAGGTAAGTGTGGTGGAAACGCGTCGTGGTGGGCATGCTGGTCATGCTGATGCCCCCGATGCCCGTGGCGGAGGGCGTCGCGGTGTAAGGGAAGGCAGCGGACATGGCGCCGGGGTAATGCATCCGCGGGTCGGAGAACCTGGTCTCGGTGAGAGCTGGCAGCGTCGGAAAGGAGCGATCAAACTGCCGGGGGTCAGAGAAGGGGCTCAGATCTGACGTGCCTGTTGGGGTGGAGGAAGAAAGTGGGTGGTTAGAGCACGATCCTTGAGGCTTGTAGAGTTTGTCCTATAGCCTGGGCCATCCCCTGCCAAAGGAATTAAAGCCAGAGGGAAAAGCATCTCTTGGATCTGCTGAGGAACTTAAATAGAAAAATCCTAAACCCATTTGTTTAAGTTGTTCCCATTTCCTGTCCTAAAATTTGTTGTTTCCTATCCAAGAAGGGCCACGACTAAGCTGACTTCTCTAGGGGTCTATTCATCTCTGGCAGCTTAACAAAACACACCCCATAAACACAGAAAAAAAATGTTTAGCCATTACATCAGCTGTGTAGTAAATAAATGGATGCAGGCCCCAGACGGCCGGTCCCCGAGATAGTCGGCGGTGTATATACACACACACGGAGACAGGGAGGAAAAGCTGGAGTCCAGACCAGCCTGCTAAGCCTTCTTGTGGGTGGCCTGTTCGTGCTGATACCATCAGGGGATGGAGCTGATAAACACACAGCTGAAAACTCCCAAGCTAGGAGCCACAATATCCCTCTGCTTGAGTTCTCTGTGTATTTTTCTCCTTCCAAGAGGATAAAGAGAGTGAGAAATTCAGGCTTTCTTCTGCTGGGGGGAGACTTGGGTCAGCACGATGGGGACATCGTTACCCAGCTCCCTCGGATGCTGGAGCCCCCCATACCTTTTCCTGGGGGGCTATAAACCCAAACGGGGTCGTAGCCAGCCAGCCAGGAGAGGGACCTCTGCCCGGTGCCGCCGGGTGCCGTCCTCCTGCGGGAAGCCCAGGTCTGAGACGGGAATCCAGACCAGCAGATCCTTTGAGGATCTCAAGGCTTGTCTGTGGCCACCCCAGCTGTCCCGAGGCTGGTGCCGTTTCCTGGCAGAGCCCAGCACACCTCCAGCCTTGGCGCACCCGAGACGGAGAGAAATGGGGTTTGCTCTCCAAGGAGAGACACGAAACCCCTGTCCTCGAGACCTCAGCAGCCCGCGCCAAGCACTGGCACTGGTTAGGCAGGAAGACACGGCTGGAAATGCTGCGGCTATGCCTTTCTCAGCCTTTCAACACCCCTCATGAGATGAAAATCTCCAGAAAGAGCAGTTCTAGCCCAAAGTGCTTGGCTGGTGCATTGAGCTCGAAGCCTTGGCCAGCTGGAGGTAGCTCTACACCCTCTCTGTTTACTCCCAAGGCTCCTATTTTTCCCCTTGTTAAAAGCAGGGGCATTGTGCCGCTCTGCTTTGGTAGTGGATGTCATTGGACCTCAGGGACTTTTTTTTGTCACATTGGCTGGATTTTTGAATCGACTCAGAGCAAGATAACGTGCGAGATGAGTATGATAAGCACACACTCATACGATATTGGCTATGCGTGCCTAGGGATGCATGCGTTATATATATTCATTACGATGAAGCATTTTTAACTTCTCAGGGCTGGCATTCCAGGCCCTGCAGCATTTCCCCAGGAAAAAAATACTCGAGCTAATCCCTTCCAGCTAACGAGTGGCAAGGGCATGCTCCAGAGGAGCACATAGGGAGCGGGGATTGACCTGAACCCTCTTTCTCATCCCAGGCGAGTCCTTCAGCCATCAGCCGCTGGAAGGAGAAGGGGAGAGGTGGTACCTCCCTCCCCTCCAGCCGTTTTGCGGGCGATCCGGCAGTGCCTGCCTTCCCACGCAGGCTCCATGGAGGAGAAAGGCGGGGGAGCACCTGGTTTGTGAACGTGGCTGCGGCTTTGGTGTGAGATAAGAGAGAGGAGCAGCTCAAAGCTGTCACGAACCGCAGCGCTCTGCACACACCCGTGGCTGGATGCAACCCAGCCGAGCATGGAAGCGGCCGCCGAGCCGCAGGGCCAGCCCTCCTGAGTGCTACGTGGAGGGGTAGTGTGCTTGGGCTGCCTGGAAAAGCACAACGCTGCAAAAAATGCTCCCAACTGACCAAACCAACCTGATTTCACTTCTCAGCCTGCCAGCAGGACACTCTGTCCCATCCCAAAGCCATGCTATGGCAAAAGCAGCACCAAAACTGCTGTCAGGCGCTGCGAGCTGAGGTTTGGAGACCAGCTCTGCAAGAAGCAGCTTGACCAGAGCCTGTCGCTTTAGCAATCCAGCAGCATCACAGGATAAGGTAGGGCCATGGGACAAAAATCCTGGCTGAACTTGGTCTGGAGAGAAAAAGTGCTGTTTTCTGAATGCTTCCTCCGTAACACACACACAAGCCCAGCCACTGCGGTCCAACCAGCTGGGCCGTTTTGCCATACACTGAAAGAAAGCAGTATATAAACTCCCCCTCCCTGAAAACCCAGGCTGCTGCTTGCTACCTTCCCGAGCGCAGACGACAATCTCCAGCGACCAGACCACGCTCCTTCGTTAGCTTTCACATGCCCATAAATAATATTCCATAAAATGCAAATCGAAATAAAACCTAAGTACACAGGGCACATTTCCCTTTTCCTCTAGAACATACTCAAAGGGTTGGTTTTGTTTTTTTTTTTTTTTTAAAAGGCTACGCTTTATTGGCCTGAACTTGCAACGTTTGGCAATGGGTCCTTGCTACTAATTTAGACACAAACGTGTCAGTGTTAATTACAGGCTGCGTGTGCGCGACGAGCAAAGCACAGCGATACCGTTGGGTCTAGAGACACGACCGCCTGCAAAACCCCGGCGGGTGAGCTCGCCCAGTGCCGGGCTTGGAAGCCCCTGGTTGCTGACAGCCAGCGCTCCGCAGGGCTGGGGCTCTGTCCTGAGCGCGTCTGGGTGCAAAACCCTTGGAAAGCAAAACCCTTGGAAAGCAAATCCCTTGGAAAGCAAATCCCTTGGCTGTGCCTGCCCCGGCCAGTAAAACCCACGGCCCCGCGGAGCGAGTGGGGCATCCAAGCGACCGTGACCAACTCGCTTTCATCTTCGTTGAGCCTTCGGCTTAAAGTCTGGCCCAGAATAAAGCTCCGGCTTTCCCCAAGCAGTCTGAGGCTAAAAAAAAAAAAAAACCAACGCGAAAAACAAAACAACACAAACCCCCAAAACAAAACCCACTTGTGTATTTTGTCTCTGCGTTATCAGAGGGGTGGTTCGGCTTTCCCAGGCTGTGGCAACCAGACACCCGGCTGCTCCGCTGTATAATGTCGGTCTCTGTTTTCCCCTGGCCCCCGGCAGCCCGCGGGGAGGCGAAGCCCGTCCATCCCCGGCACCCCGCCGCG